GACAAGGGAAGGGGAGTGAAGAATGTTGAAATCTGGAAGCCTTTGGGGCTGTTAAAGTAGCTACCCTTCCTCCTGACCAACCTGAAAGGGCAGGGGCTGATCTGGCTGTCCATTTTCTTCCAAATAATTCATACCAYGGTGGTAGCCAAGGTTCTTGGAGTGCCTGTGAAGAGGAAGCTGGAGGGGGATGCATGGGCCCTTTCTCCAAGGACAGATGCATTTCAGAAAGACTGTTGTGTCTCTGGTGCCAGTTGTCAGGAGGAGGGAAGGAAATTCTTGTATGCCCTCTTTCCCTGGTGGGGTGGGGAGGGGACCAGTTGAAATTCTTAGGGCTAAAAGAATGGCCACTTAATCCCTGTTTTTGGCCAGGGATTAAGTGGCCACTGTCAAGCCAGGAGTGTCCTGTGGGAACCAGGCCTCTGTCCTTATATCCTTTCCCTTGGCAGCCCAGGACTGGTCTTTGCTGTGGGTGAAGAAGTTGCTGTTTACAAGTGAACTTGGGTGTGACACTGGGACTGATGAAAGGGATTCCAGAAAGCAGCTGGGGAGGGGAGTGAAGGGGACTAGCTGGTGTTAGGGATGATTCTGAGTTTCCCCAACTCTGTTTTCCTGCAGCTGCCAGTCCCTCCCCCACCCCAGCCCCTGGCTTCTCTCCCTGTAGGACTCTGGAGGGAACAGCTGGGAAGTGAGGGACTCCTCAGGGGCCAGAGGGCCTTGGCTGAGGGATGAAGGGGGATGGAGACCAGGCTTGCTGCCACCTCTCTGGCCCCTGCTCCCAGATTTGGACTCTGAGTTTAGGGAGGAGTTTTGCCCATACCATACTTAGAGATGGGTAGGAATTGCAGACCCTCTTCTGGCAGACTGAAAGGCTGGATGGCCCTAGAARCTCCTGTCTACTACTGGCTTTAAAGGAAACAGGGCTCAAGATGGGGTTGTGGCTCAGTGGTAGAGTGTGTGCTTAACAGGCATGAAGCCCTGGGTTTAATCCCCAGCACCACCAAAAAAGGTGGCATGAAACTAAGGCTATACATAACCAAGGCCAAAGAGATAGCAGTCATCCACACACACTCAACAACTTCTCCAGGTTACCCAGAGATTTCTGAGCAGCAGTTTCCCGTTCCTGTCTCTTGATGCCTTAAAATTGCCCCCCACGCCCTCTAAAGGAGAGAGCATTCTGTTCTTCCTTCTTTCCCTGCCCCTCCCTCCCCTCAGCACTGAGGTCACCTCCTTCTGAATCAGGCCTTTGTGGAGGCAAAAACCTCTCACTGGCAGTTCTGGAGGGAGAAGCCTCCAGTTCAAGTTAGAATTTCCTACCCAGCCTGGCTATAGGGAGAATTCCAGACCCAACATCTGAGATGTGCTGTGAGGCCATGCAGAAGGATATTAGAAACCAGGACCATCTGAAAGGCTCAGGCCCAGGTTTTCCCAGGATCAACATAGGGCTGAGCACAGAGGCTGTGAGTAGGAGTCATGGGTCCTGAGAGAAGAGGAGGATGATTGGACACTGAGTTGGGTACTGACACCACACATGGAGAGTCACTGAGGACCTGACTTAGGAGACCCTGAAAGACCAAGTTCCTAATTAGGCTTTGTTTTGGAGGTGGAGGTGTTAGTCCCTAGAGGGTGTAAAGACTAAGGAAGGGCTAGGATTGTGGCTCAGCGGTAGAGCGCTYCCCTAGCACGGGTGAGGCTCTGGGTTCGATCCTCAGCACCATGTAAAAAATAAATAAATAAAATAAAGATATTGTGTCCAACTAAAAAATAAATGTTTTTTTTTTTTTAAAGACTAAGGAAGTTTTCTTTTAGAAAAAAAAAAATTTTTTTTTTTTTTTAAGAGACCGGATCAGGCTGGAAATGTGTCACTCAATGGTAGAGTGCTTCCCTAGCAGGAGCAAGGCCCTGGGCTCAACCCCCCAATACTACAGAAAGGTGGGGTTGGGGGTTGGGGGATAGAGTTTCTACTATGTTGCCCAGGCTGGCCTTAAACTCACAATCCTCCTTCCTCCCTCTGGAGTAAATTGGATTATAAATTTATGCCACCATGTCTAGCTGTTTTTGTTGATGTTTTGCTTTTTGTTTTTTAGAAATCTCAAACTCAGATTCATAGGCACGTGCTCCTCCCCATCACCAAGTTGAAATGTTCCTCCCCAGTCAGGCTGACAGTTTTCTGCCTCCTGCTTATGGCAGCCCTGCAGACACAGAGAAGGCTCTCCACCCTGAGTTGGCCCAGACCATCGTGGTGCAAGGGCAGAAAACATTTCTCCCAAAGTGGGGCTGAGTCACAGCCTTCCTCCAGCCAACATTTCCGGAGCCTCTACTCAGGCTCCAGCTGGGACCTACAGAGCAGTGTATGCAGGAGAGAAATGTTACCCTTGGGAGGCTTAGAAACTAAAGGGCCTCCCATAGTTCACAGAGGGACTCAGCCCACCCTGCCCTGGGATCTGTAAGGGCTCAGATTTGGATGGTGGCAATGGTTGGCTAGCGTGGTGTGCTGGGTCTCTACCTTCTTTAGTACATAAAACTGCCACGTACATGTGTACATGATGGCATAAGTTTATAATCCCATTTACTCTACAACCAGGCCATGTGTGGTGTGCATACCTGTAATTGCAGCTACTCAGGAATCTGAGGCAGGGGGATTGCAAGTTTAGACTAGCCTCAGCAACWTAAGGAGACCCTATCTAAAAACAAAATAAAAAGAGCTGGGAATGTAGCTCAGTAATAAAGCATTTGCCTAGCATATACAAGGTCCTGGGTTCAATCACTGGTACCACCAAAAAAAAAAAAGAAAAAGAAAGAAAAATATTCACAGCTAGCCTTCATATCTTTACCTTTCACATCCTTATCTGTTTTTTTTAGTTATTATTTTAGGAAAAGATATTCTACTAAATTGTCTTTATCCTTTATCCTGTGTTAATTTTGTTTTGTTTTTGTGAAGAACACAAAACTTGGGACTTCCCCTAACTTTAGCGCTATTCTTTTCTGGACCTTATTTGTTCTATTCCCTTACTTTGCATTTCCAGCTTTCTTATTCTCTACAATGCACATAGATGCTCATAAACATATGTGTCCCAATTCCTCTCTTTCCTGGGAATTGCCTCTGGGGAAACAAATAGTGTAGAATCAAGGGAAAAACTAGTGATCACTAGAGCCAGGTCTAGGGTAGTGGGAGTTATTCACTGAAGAGAGAAGATGATGTCCAGAGACCAGAGTTGAGGAGCAAGGGTGGAAATGGTTGAATGGTAGAGGTAACCTGAGGCCTTTTTTGGTTCTCACCCTATTTGTATGGAAAAGAGAATATTTCTTGAATTTCTTTTATTTTTCTTTCCCAGGCTTGTATATTTCTAAATTTGTCAAACTTGATAATGTCAGAGCAAACCAAGTTATATCCAATGCATTATTACCATATCAGAAAACAAAAGAACTTTCAATTGTTGTAGAGTATTAAAAATAAGTATTACACAGTTTTTCCTTTTCTTATTTTTTTCAGAAGCCCCCTTCTCACTGTGGTATGCACACACACACACACAGAAAGAAGACTTCTCCCTTTGCCCGTTACCTCTGGCCTCAAAACCTCCAGCCAATTCCTTTCTAGGGTATGAGGCAGAGACAATGAAGGCTGGGTCCACCATGGGGCTGGTGAGCTGGGGGAGACTTGGGGAGGGAGCCTAAGAGGGCAGGGCAGGCTGGGTAGTACCTGAGATCTGCAGGTGCCCCTTTAACTGAGACCTAAGGGTGAGGAGCTGGGACCCAGTGTTGCCTGTGTGCCAGCTGAGAGTAACATCAGGCTCCACAGCAACCCCAGGCTTGGCACTCACCATAATATGAAAATTATTATTATAATCCCATGTCAGCTCACCATAATATGAAAAGCCTCCAGTTACTGAGGTCATGCTGGCTGCTCTGCATCCATTCTCTCATTTTATCCTCCAACTGCTCTTTGAACTAAGTATCTTTACCCACATTTTATAAGCAAGGAAAGAGACTTCTTCAGAGTCTGGATTTCAGCCCAGATCTATCCAACTGCAAAGCTCCAGGAGTCTCTACACCAGGGCCCTGGGACTGTATGGAGCCTGCATGTAGGTTATTCTGTGAAGCTGGCAGTATAACTTTTTTTTTTTTTTAAGAGAGAGAAAGAGAGAATTTTTTTAATATTTACTTTTTAGTTTTCGGTGGACACAACATCTTTATTTTATTTTTATGTGTTGCTGAGGATCGAACCCAGCAAGCCGCGCATGCCAGGTGAGCGCGCTACCACTTGAGCCACATCCCCAGCCCCCGGGCAGTATAACTTGATGTGTATACAGAAGCTTCAGAGGAGCAGGGACATCCAGGCCTGTCCAGTGTGCTGTGTGCTCTAGCCATATGATTTCAGCAGTGTCTTATTCCTCCAGAGCCTGCTTTTTTTCTCAGGCTGGTACCCCCTGTCAAGGTTATTAGGAGATTCAGATGTCATATTGCAAAAGAAAAGTTCCAGCACCATGCAGTACATGAGATACTCAGTTCCTCAGTTTTTTCATCTAAAAAAAATATAGGCCTTAGGCTGGGGATGTAGCTCAGTTGTAGAGTACCTGTCCAGCAGCATGGGGCTGGGGGTTCAAACCCCAGCCCTGCAATAAATAAGTAAACAAATTCTAAAAATATAGGTGTTTACTTCCCTTTGTGGTCATGAGGATTAAAGACAAGCATGTTAGCTGAGTAACTCCTGGCTAAGGAGCAAGGGACCTTTGTAGTGGCTCTTTCCTTTTGCCCAGAGTGCTTTTTCCATCCTGGGATTTCATCTGGACTTTACTCAGGTCTCTGCCTAATTGTCATCCTTTGGTGCCTAGTTATGCCCAGTGTTGTATTTTTGTCTGCCTCACACAGTAGTGGAGTGGAAGCTACATAAAGGCAGGGCTTTCGGACTTGTTTGCCCCTATGCCCTGGCACCTGGCACACAGCATAAGCCCAGTAAATATTTGAAAAGTACATGACTGACATCTCCCTCTGTTTTTCCCCAGATGAGGTGACTGGCTGCCAGAGTGAACGTGCCAGCCTAGGTGAGGGGCAGAGACAGGTAAGGCCTTTGAAGCCTGTGTATGGTGGTGATGGGGACTAGAGGTAGGAGGGGTATCCCTGTGTCCCACTCCGGAAGACAAGAGTGAGGTTCAGATGCCTGGAGATGACCTGCTGAGGGCCCCCCTCTTTTCTAGTACAAAAGCTCTAAGCCACTTTTGTTGGGGCTTCAGTGGGACATGGAAGAAGCAATGGAGTAGTCAGTGGTAGACAAGGGTGTCTACCCTTTTACAACAAGAATGGCTTCCCATCGGCTAGAAAAGTCATAATCTTTATGCAGAAAGAAGTGAGTGCTTTCTTCTAACAGAGAAATTGAAACTCAATTGGAAGATAAAGACTAGTCAGTTAAAACTAATGATGGCAAGTGTCTGAAGGGGAATCACATAGCACAGTGTGGGTCAGAACACTGCTGTGTTTGTGTGGTCGGTGACATATGAGGTTTTTTCATCATTACTCTGTCTCCTAAATGTCAGGTATTGTACTGGGAGGAGTGTGGGTTTGGACAGAGAAGTGACTACAATGTCCCTGCCCTTAMGAGCTGACAGCTTAATGGGGACTATTACAGAATTAACACAGGAGCAGCACCCAATCCAGATTTGAAGTGAGAGCCCTGAGGAATGGACAGAAAGGTCTAGCCAAGTGGGAGGGAGGGAGTGGTGTCAGGTCCCCAGCAGAGTGGCCAGCATGTGTAGAGAAGCTGGTCTGCTGGGGCTTCATTGGCAGTGCCCTCTATACCACTCAGGGTGCTGGGTGCCTAGGGCAGCTGAAGCTGGAAGAGGGAGTGTTGGAGGCAAGCAGGACACCTCCCACTATATCCAGGAGGAGATGAGGCCCAGGGGGAGGGGCCTTGCTCCAGGGTCATCTGGCAAGTGAAATGAGCCAGGGCTGGGTCTCCACACCAAGCCCCTCCCACAGCTCTGTTCACAGGAGCCTGAGTCAGTCATATTGATCCTTTTGCAGGTTGCAACTCAGGTTATTAGACCGTAGTGCTCTCATTTGACTTCTTAATAGCCCTGTCAGGAAGCCCTGCCCATTTCTCAGGATTGGGAAACTGAAGATCAGTTGGTTGACCAAGTGAGTGACCAAAACAAGCAAGTTTTCAGTTCACCCAGCTTATACTGGGCAGAGCCAGCTAGAGCCTTTTGGCTACAAAGCCAGGGTTTTGGCCCATGGCCCCAGTAACTTGAGACCTGCCTCAAGCAAGGTACCTCCGATTCCCTGGACAAAATCCCAGTTGTCTTACCCGTACCTATTATATTAATGTATATTATTTTAGAAGTATTAGTGTTAGTATTACTACTACTACTATTATGAATAATAATAGTCATGTGATTTAAGTCTTTTTTTGAGACAGGTTTTCACTAAGTTGCTGAGGCTAGCCTGAAACTTGTGATCCTCTTGCCTCAACCTCTTGAGTAGCTGGGATTACAGGCATGCGTTGTACCCACAGCTAAGACTGGGGTTTTTTGTTTTGTTTTGTTTTAACTTTTTCTAATACCCTTACAGACCTAATATTTTTGTTTGCCAGTACTGACTGAGATTAGGTGATTTGGGGTGTTATTTTGTAAATAGGGAACATAGAGGCACAGATTGACTTGCCAGTTCGAGGCTAATACCAGTAGAGAATTCAAGATTTTTAGTCCCTTGCTCAGTGTCTGTCTGACCTATGCTAGGATCAGACAGTACAGGCATTTTTAAAACAATGGTCTATTCTCGAGACAGGAAGAGTAAGTAGGAATCTCCCTGGGTGACCGTGAGTTTGTAACAATGTCTGTAGCATATAGATCATACCTATCTAAACTCTGAGACTAGGGAAGAGTTTCATCTTTGTCCTCCTCCTTCACTCCTCCTTGTGCCCTAGAGTAGCCTGCTGGGGTTTCTCTCAGTTGTTCCCAGAGCCTGACATCAGAGGCCATGGACCAGCCAGCTGGGGATCCTGGAAACCTGAGGCCAGGAGAGAGTGGTGATGGCATCATGGAGCCAGGCACCTGCCAGGAGCTGCTGCACCGGCTGCGGGAGCTGGAGGTGTGTGGAATGGGAGTGCAAGCCAGAACCCTGAGGGGGCAGGGAGGCAGGGCTGCCTCTCCCGCTGAGCTCAGTGTGGGGTCTGGGTGCAGAGAGGCTTCTTCTCTGCCCCTGTGGACAGGCAGGAGGAGACTGATCATTTGTTCAACAGAGCTCCTCCAAGAAGCCCTTTCCTGGCTCTTAAAGCTCTCCAGCCCAAGTGGCAGCACAAGGATGGGCTGTCCTAACCCCCAAATGCTCTCTTCTCCCCTGTAGGGCAACAAATAGTCACAGCAGGCATGGGAGGAAGGGATTAGGTGACCCAGGACCCAGGAGTTGGAGTACAGGTGTGGATCTTCAAACCAAACCCCTTGCCACATTAAGACCCTGTCCTCTTCCCTCCAGCCTCCAGGGTCCACCTCCCAGGAAAATAAAAGTTTTACTTTTGGGGGGTTGGGGTTGTGGCTCAGTGGTAGAGCACTCACATCTCATGTATGAGACCCTGGGTTCAATCCTCAGCACCACATAAAACTAAATAAACAAAATAAAGATATTGTGCCCATGTATAACTTAAAAAATATTTTTTTAAAAAAAAGTTACTTTGGGGCTGGGGATGTGGCTCAAGCGGTAGCGCGCTCGCCTGGCATGCGTGCGGCCCGGGTTCGAACCTCAGCACCACATACCAACAAAGATGTTATGTCCGCCAACTAAAAAAAAAATAAATATAAAAAATTCAAAAAAAAAAAAGTTACTTTGGCATCACCCACTCAGGTCCCCCTGGTCACAGTGTCTCCTCAGCCCCCCAGCCTCACTGCCTAAAGTTGGATTTTACAGAAAACCAGCTGTCTCACCTCTGTCCTCCAAATCAAAGTTACTACCCCTGGTCCACCTCTGCAGGCCTCCCCACCTGAACTGTAGCTAGTGGATTCCTTTTCTCCTCTTCTTCAAAAGGAATTTGCCCTGGGGGAATAACAGGCCCTGAGCTTCCTTACCCTCTTTTTCCCTCACTCCTGCAGGCAGAGAACTCTGCGCTGGCCCAGGCCAATGAGAACCAGCGGGAAACATATGAGCGCTGCCTGGATGAGGTCTGTGGGATCTGTGGTAGGACTGTCCTGGGGTTGGGGGTGGGGAGGCATGGCTTGTCTGCTCAGTCTTGGGGCTTTCTGTCCTCAGGTTGCTAACCATGTGGTGCAGGCGCTACTGAACCAGAAGGTGAGTGGCCACAGGAAACACTTCCACCCTTAAGCCCAGCTGCTCTGGGGAAAGGCCCTGAGTGCACATGGAGAAGCCCTTCCCCAGGACCCCTGAGCCAGCTTAGCTAAAGCATTCACTAGGAACTGGAGGAGTCAACCTATCCCCCTCCTCCATTTGTCCCCCTCTGCCTGCTTTGGTTAGGTCCACACTTTTCTTCCTGGGGGCAGAGGTGTGACTGAGTAAAGCCAGGTCTCTAAGCTATGGTAACTTTAGTTTGGATTTGCATCTTCCCCTTACCCTGGTCCCAACTGGTTTCTCCAGTTTGTGATGGTTCTCAAAGTAATATTGATGTTGTGAGCATAAGTGGGATCTAAATATTTACTCATGAGCATAAGTGGATCACTTCTTGACATAAGGGCCACTCTGACTCCAAGGTTGTCTTCCATCTGAAATACACCCTTCTTTGAAGTGTGGTTTCTAAGAAGCAGAGTTGGCTCCAGGGATAGGAAAAATGGCAAAGAGAATAGGATTTACCTCCCACCAGGGTAGCAAACCTTAGAAACTACTTACCATCCCCAAGAGTCTATATTTGCACACAGGCAGGTTCAGATCCCTTGCAGGAGGTTGCAGGAGAAGAACATGCCCAGCGAGTGCCTTGGGCTCCTAGGCAGGATCTGCTGTGCTCATTCTGTTCTTCCTGTCCCCACCATCCTTCCCTTCGCTTCTTCTGCCTCCTGGGCGGGTGCAGGACCTGCGAGAGGAGTGCATCAAGCTAAAGAAGAGGGTGTTTGACCTGGAACGACAGAACCAGATGCTGAGTGCCCTGTTTCAGCAGAAACTCCAGCTCACAACAGGCTCCCTCCCCCAGGTGGGCACTTGCACTTCTCCTGTCCTCTCCTAGTCTGCTTCCTGCTGCCCCAAGTCATCAGTGCTATTTTTGTTCACATACACACAGAAAAGCAGGCCATCACTCATCCCCCTTCATGCTGGGGTCTGTGGCCATCACAGGAAGGCCTGCCCAGCCTGATGGTTTCACACTTTAAATGGAATGAAAACTACTTGAGTCCCTGCAAGCTTGGCTGGCCCTTACATCCCACTTGCTCCCCACCCAGCTGAGCAGCATCCCTTCTTGCTGACAGAGAAGGTTCGTACTTGCTCCTGCCTCTGTGTGAGGAGATGAGGAGATGGGTGGAGACTGCAAGTGAAATTATTTCAAGCTCCCAAGAGGCTCCTTTGGCCACTGATGTGTGCTTCCTGGCCAGGGGCAGGAGTGAGCCATACATAAGGCAGCCCAGGGCTTATGGTGTCACCGAGCAGTCAGGAAGGTGCTTCACCCTTGATAACTATGGGCACACATAATGGCATACATCTGTCACTGTTGTATGCACATGTTCACAGTTAGTGGCCTTTGCTATTAGCCCTGACTCTTGCCTTCTTCAGAGCAGCAGGAGACTCCTGGGAATGAATTCTGGGCCAAGATGTCCCTTGAGGTTACTCTGTCAGGAACTCCCAAGGATGTGGTTAAGATGCAGGGGTGGGGAGATTGGGAGCAGCTCCCGGTGGTCAAGGGGAGCACTAGGTTGTTTCTGAGGGCAGCCAACCTCTTCCCCCATTTTGACAAGAAGAGAAGCACTTTCCTCGTGTGTGGGAGCTTATGTGTCTGTCTGAATTTGTGTCTGTGTTATAAATCAGGGAGCTCTTGAGCAGGGAGTCCTTCCACTCACTGGGAAGCCTCACCCCTGCAGAGGAAGCCTCTCGTTAACATGATGTTTCTGGAGCCTCCATCTCACCCAGACATTGCAGAACTGGGTCTGAATCAGCAGCGGAGACTGTAGTTCTCCCTGCCCTACAGTTGTCCCTGATTTGAAGGGCCCACTCTGAAATCCCATTAGGCCCAACCACACCAGCCGAGCTTACCCCTTCTGAGTGACTGCTAATGACAGGACTAAGCATCCTTAAATCATTTATTTTTTATCTAAATGAATTCTAGGACCTCTTAGAACTTTGACCAATAGATTTATCTTCCTCAGAGCTAGCATGACATAATGAAAAGAGAGCAAACCTTGGCCTCATAAGCTTGGGTTAGACCCCTAACTTAGCCACTTCTTAGCTAAGTGTGACCTTGGACAGATTATCTAACTTTGAAAACTAGGTTTTTTTTCTCTTCAAAAATGGGGATGAAAATACCTGTATTGCATATTGTGATGATTAAATGAGATAATATATAATGCTTGACCCAGCATGTAATCAATAAATGGTAGCTGTTTATCATTAATGTGATTTCCAAGTTATGTTTGTTGGGATGAATGCTCCTTTGAGCAGATGCTAATTAAGCTCCTATTTGTGAGCAATGCCTTTTCCAGCACATATAGAATTGAACTGAATCACATGGCCTTAGGGGCTGTGACCTGTGCAGGGTACTCATGACTACATGAGGTCTATAGACAGCCATGCTACAAAACTGAAGGTGACAGTGCTTCTGTCCAAGGGCCCACCCAGGAGGGAGACAGGCCCTCAGAGAAGGACTAGGGAAGGTTCCTATTGGGAATTAACTTTGGACCTGGCCTGGACTGATGGGAGAGCCTCAAAGAGTGACACAGTGGTTGAGGAGAAGGGATTTCCTGTGGGAAGAAGAGCCTAAGTAAGGATCTGCAGGCAGGGAAGCCTAGGGAGTGGCAAGCTACTCAGCTTGGCAGGAACAAAAGATAAGTGAAAGGACAGTGAGTGGTAAAAGCTGCAGACAAGTATCAGGGGAAGACATGTCCAGGGAACCTACAGGCCAGGCCGGGAGCCCCATGGGAGTTCCGACTTGTTTCCTCAGGCAGTGGCAGGCACACTGAGCACAAAAGTGCTTTAGAAAAAAAGATAAAGAAGATGCTTTAGGCTGCCTGTGCATGGGAGGTGGAAAGGCCACCAAATCAGGTCAAGGAAACTGATTGAAATGCCCAGCAGCATCCAGGCTAGAAGTGGGAAGATTCAGACTGAAGTTACTGCTGGCATATGGCCAGAGGCAAGGCTGAAAGATGCTGCAGAGACCAGGTTTGAAGACTGTGGGGAGTTGGGGTGAGAGAAGGGTTAAAGCTGACTCATAATCAGTTGAGATGACTGGGAAGAGGAAATAACATTCTCAAGGACTGAGAAAAGTGGCCCTTGATTAAATCCTACTTTTGCAATCCTCAGAATAGATGAGACCAGGTTGAGGAGGCAGAAATAATGGCTCCCTGCCATCCTTTTCTAAGATTATCAGCCTCAGCTTTGCTGGAATAACAGGTAGTTAGAACAGAAAGAGACCTTCCTGGTAACTCCCTTTTTAATAGGGAGGAAACACCTCAGAAAAGCAGAGCAGTGCTGGAGATAGGCACCCTGGGTTAGAGCCACAGCTGCCCTCCAGGCCTGTGGTACTTGTCTTTCTCCCCAAAGTCCCACCTCCCTCTGCCATGGTCTCCTGAGGCTCCTCTTCACCAGCAGGTAGTGGCAGCAGCAGGAACTAGGCCTGGAGATGACCATAAGGGGCACACTTGGAAGGGAAGGCCTGGCTTCATGAGGGGCAGACAGCATTGTGCTAACTCTCCTTTTCCCTCTACAGATCCCACTCACTCCACTTCAGCCACCATCAGAGCCGCCAGCCACCCCCTCCCTGAGTGCCGCTGAAGGAACAGCCACCTCTTTGCCTTTGGGTCGCTGTGCTGGGCAAAGAGAGGTAGGAGAGGTGGGCATAGTGGTCTCGGCTTCCCTGGAGAGGGGCTAGTCAGTCAGTACTCCACTGCTGGTTCCTAACAAAACACAGGGGTACTATTTCTCACGCACAGACTCTTGTCCAGGCTGGAAGTGGGAGCCCTCAGCTGTCAGCCATGTAATCAAGAAAAACAGATCCCCACCCCCACCCATGGCCTGTGAGCAAATGCATTAGTATTGCAGTGAGAGTCATAGTTAACACTTATGGAACTCATTCCATGCCAGGCACTGTGCAGGTCACCTTAGGGCTCTTTTATTTTATTAGTTTAAACATAATTACCATCTCATTTTACAGATGATACCATGAAGCTTATAGGTCAAATAGCTTGTTGAAGGTCATATTGCTAGGTAGAACTGGGACTTGAACCCACCCAGTCTGACTCCAGAGAGGATATAGTTAACCACTGTTCCAGACTCAAGAAGGAGCAGGATAGCAGCAGAGAAGGTTTTTCATGGAGTCATCCCCAGTCCACTTCTCCTGTTGGGGATAAGGCCAGCATGTTGGTTGGAAAGAGAAGGCCTGGGTTGGCCTATGTTGACTTAGGTCTTGGCCACATCATACCCCCTTCTTGAGTCTCCTTTCTTTCTGGAACCTGAAAAATGGACTGGCCTCCCTCCTGAGGCAAGCATAGATGTCAGAGTTATAGCTGGTTATCCCTGCTAATCCAAACAGCAATAGGGATAGGAGGCTGGGATAAGTAAGAAGGGGATGCGGGCTGACTACCCTACCCAAAGTGTGCTAGGTACAAGTTGGGGTAACCAGACCTGAGCACCACTTGAGGAAACTGAGCCATCATACCCCAAGAGCTGTGAATTCCTTTTCCGGTCACAGACATGCAACCAGGCCAGCCCTGTCTCTGGCATATTTTTATGCCCAACTCAGGGCCTGGGCCTAGACCAGAATGCCCACTGTGTAAGTCTCCTTCTCACTTCCTTCTCAGGTGTGTTGGGAGCAGCAGCTGCGACCAGGAGGCCCTGGTCCCCCGGCCACCCCACCACCAGCACTAGATGCCCTATCCCCATTCCTTCGGAAGAAAGCCCAGATTTTGGAGGTGCTTCGAGCTTTGGAAGAGACTGACCCCTTGCTTCTGTGCTCACCTGCCACACCCTGGCGGCCTCCAGGCCAGGGTCCAGGCTCTCCAGAGCCCCTCAATGGAGAGCTGTGTGGCCCACCACAACCTGAACCTTTGCCCTGGGCCCCCTACCTGTTACTTGGACCTGGTAACCTAGGAAGCCTGCTGCACTGGGAGCGCCTCTTGGGGGAACCAGGGGAGGAAGAGGGTACCAGGCGGCCTTGGAGCCCTAGCAGGGCCCCACCACAGGCCCAGGGCACTAGCTCTGGCTCACACTGTGCTCCAGGCAGTAGCTCCTCCTCCTCTTCTGATGAGGCAGGTGACCCCAATGAGGCACCTAGTCCTGACACCTTGCTGGGTGCCTTAGCCCGCAAGCAGTTGAACCTGGGCCAGCTCCTTGAGGATACGGAGACTTATCTACAGGCATTCCTGGCTGGGGCTACAGGCCCACTCAATGGGGACCACCCAGGTCCTGGGCAGCCATCGTCCGCAGACCAGGGGCCTCAGCAGCTATCCAAGTCCAAAGGCCTCCCTAAGTCAGCTTGGGGTGGGGGTACCCCAGAGGCCCACAAGCTGGGCTTTGGTGCTACCTCAGAGGGCCAAGGGCCCCTCCCCTTCCTCAGTATGTTCATGGGTGCAGGGGATGCCCCACTGGGCTCGCGGCCTGGCCAACCCCACTCCTCATCTCAGGTGAAAAGCAAGCTCCAAATTGGGCCCCCTTCTCCTGGAGAAGCCCAAGGACCCATTCTGCCCTCTCCAGCCAGAGGTCTCAAATTTCTCAAGCTGCCTTCAGCTTCGGAGAAGACTCCCAGCCCAGGAGGCCCCCAGCTCAGTCCCCAGCTACCCCGGAACTCCCGAATCCCCTGTCGCAATAGTGGCTCAGATGGCAGCCCCTCCCCACTGCTGGCCCGCAGGGGTCTGGGTGGAGGAGAACTGTCCCCAGAGGGGGCACAGGGCCTGCCCACCAGTCCTTCACCTTGCTCCACAATCCCAGACTCTGCACAGCTCAGACCCCCCCAATCAGCCTTGTCTACCACACTGTCCCCAGGGCCAGTGGTATCTCCTTGCTATGAAAACATCCTGGACCTTTCCCGGGGCACCTTTAGAGGGCCTTCCCCAGAACCACCTCCATCCCCTCTGCAGGTGCCCACCTACCCACAACTGACTCTGGAAGTACCACAGGCTCCTGAGGTCCTCAGAAGCCCTGGAGTACCCCCCAGCCCTTGCCTCCCAGAATCCTGCCCCTATGGGAGCCCCCAGGAGAAGAGTTTGGACAAGGCAGGCTCAGAGTCTCCCCATCCCAGCCGTAGGACCCCAAGCAGCTCATCCAAGAAGCCCAGCCAGGGATCAGGGCGGCGACCTGGGGATACCAGCTACACGCCTTTGCGGGACAGACTTGCAGCCCTGGGAAAACTGAAAACAGGCCCTGAGGGGCCCCTGGGCACAGAGAAAAATGGGCTGCCTGCCAGATCTGGCACCGAGAAAACTCGAGGACCAGGGAGGTCAGGGGAAAGTACTGGAGATATGGTGCCTACCACCACTAGACCCCTTGAGCAGCCAGAAACAAAGGGAGCCCTGCGGGGGGCAGTGGCCTTAGGCACTAGCAGCCTGAAGCAGCAGGAACCTGGACTTGGACTTGGGGATCCTGGGGCCCGAGTCTACTCATCCCATTCCATGGGGGCCCGGATTGACTTGGAGCCTGTCTCACCAAGGAGCTGCCTCACCAAAGTGGAGCTGGCCAAGAGCCGGCTGGCAGGGGCCCTATGCCCCCAGGTGCCTCGCACCCCTGCGAAAGTGCCAACCTCAGCCCCCAGCCTGGGCAAGCCCAACAAGAGCCCTCACAGCAGCCCTACAAAACTACCCTCCAAGTCACCCACAAAGGTGGTGCCCCGACCTGGGGTCCCCCCAGTCACCAAGGAGCCACCCAAGCCTGAAAAGGGGAAGGGACCTCCTTGGGCAGACTGTGGTAGCACCACAGGCCAGCCCACATCCCCTGTGCCTGGCCCCACTGACCCAAACCAGGGACCTGAGGGGCCAGCCCCACACTCAGCCATCGAGGAGAAGGTGATGAAGGGCATCGAGGAGAATGTGCTGCGGCTCCAGGGGCAGGAACGAGCACCAGGCTCTGAGGCCAAGCACCGCAACACCAGCAGCATCGCCAGCTGGTTCGGCCTTAAGAAGAGCAAGCTGCCAGCACTGAACCGCAGAACAGAGGCCACCAAAAGCAAGGAGGGCGCTAGTGGGGGCTCCCCACTCCGGAAGGAGGTCAAGGTGGAAGCCCGAAAGCTGGAGGCGGAGAGCCTCAACATCTCCAAGCTGATGGCTAAGGCAGAAGACCTGCGCCGGGCTCTGGAAGAAGAGAAGGCCTACCTGAGCAGCAGGGCCCGCCCACGGCCTGGGGGTCCAACCGCAGCACCCAGCCCTGGTCTAGGGCAGGTGCAAGGCCAGCTGGCCGGTATGTACCAAGGTGCCGACACCTTCATGCAACAACTGCTCAACAGGTGAGGATCTGGGATCGTTTAGCAGATGCTCAGCAGACACACCTGATTCTGGACCTGATACTGCCCTTCTGGCAGTTAGGGCTTCCCAGAGGTCAGAAGGGATAGGATGCTACCAGAATGTCTTGGGGTTAGTGTCCTGGCCTGGAGGAATGATCTGGGACTCAAATCAGAAGTCAGCCATCCTCCCCTCCCTGCTGGGCTGGCTGTCACCCAGACTTGCTGAGACCAGTTTTCATTTGAAAAGAATTAACTCGTGTTTTTCTGGATTGTCTCATGTCAGATGAGCTGGTCTACATATGGGAGTTAAACGAATACTAGAGCCTAACCAAGGCTAATGAAAGTGTTCCTCCAGCAACAAGGAAGGTCCCCTTCTTGTCTTACATTTTGACACCTGACACTAGGGGGGTTCATTGTTTAGAAAAGAAACCCACTCCAGGATTGCACTTTCTGGGCTGATAAAACAAATTCTGAAGGCATTGGGTCTTATTAGTATGAGGTTTGGGTGGCAAGTGTGCTCAGAAGTTCATGGGGAGCAGGCAGGGTGTTGTGCATGGGACCAGGATGTGACCTGACCTGCCAATATAACAGAGTACATTGCTGGGTAGCTTTGCCTCTACTATTCCCTGGGGTTTCCCCCAGGGTCCCTGCCTTTTGCCAGTATCAGGAGAGGTTGGCAGGAGCAATATGTCCCTTTTCCCTGGATAGGTCCCAGCAAGTACCTTACCAGACCCAGCACCTAGAGGGTGCAAGGCTGGTATATTAATCCATTTTTCCATTACTATAATGAAATATCCAAAGCAGGCTACTTTATAAAGAAGAGGTTTATTTTGGCTCATAGTTTAGGAGATGCAAGGTCTAGGAGCTGAATCTGGTGATAGCCTTTGTGCTGGCAGAGTCCTGAGGTGGCAAAAGAGTGCACATGTATACGTGCGGCTCTTGGTCTCTTATAAGTCCACCAGTATTAGCCATATAGGCTCCACCCTAATGACCATACCTAATCATGATCTCTCTCACACCTGCAAAGGTTCTCTACCTCTAAAAACCATAGATTTAAGTTTCYACTCTCTTAATCCCTCACAATGAGGTATTAATCCTTGGGGGACACTCAGCAAACCATAGAGGCTGGTGTGGTCTTCTGAGTATTCACCTCCCTCACCTACCTATTTTGTTACCCAGGGTGGATGGCAAGGAGCTGCCGCCCAAGAGTTGGCGGGAGCCCAAGCCTGAGTATGGCGATTTCCAGCCAGTGTCCTCTGACCCCAAGAATCCCTGGCCAGCCTGTGGGCCCCGAAATGGTCTGGTGGGCCCACTTCAGGGCTGTGGAAAACCTTCTGGAAAGGTAAGTTCTTGGGGCTAGAGCTGGCCTGGCTCTGGAGGGTTTCCCTTCCCTTGGGCCTGGGAGCTACTGGATGCATTTGTGGTCTGTAAGGGGAACTAAGGAGAGGAGAGTGGGTTCCAGAGCGCCTGCAACCACAGCCATCCTCCAGGGCCCTAATGCTCCTACTCCCCTGCTCCCATACTCACATTCCTACTCCCAGAGGCACAGTGGGGTTTGGAGGAGGGATGGGAATGAACACCCAGGTCTCCTGTATCTGCACAGCTGAGCAATGAGCCAGGGAAGCGGGAAGAGATGCCCTCAGAAGACAGCCTGGCCGAGCCAGTGCCCACCTCGCACTTCACAGGTAGGTGGGACCCGGGCTGAGGATACTTTTTCCTGCAACCATGGCAGATGCAGGCCCCAAGTGCCATCTTGGGGACCAACACTGAGTGGGCTCTGGGGCTGCACAGAAGGGAAACTCCCCTTTACCATCAAGGATACCTCTCTGAGCCCAGAACCCTTGGGGGTGGACAGGCAGGTTCTGTGGGATGGGCATGTTGGGTCAGGAGGCCCTGAGAGTTGGAGTGGAGCCTGGACTGGGGTGGGAAGCTAGAGGAGAGGCAGGGGGCAGAGCTTCCACCTAACATCCTCTGTGTGCTCTTTTCTCCAGCCTGTGGCTCCTTGACGCGAACCTTGGACAGTGGCATTGGGACCTTCCCACCCCCAGACCATGGCAACAGTGGGACCCCTAGCAAGAATCTTCCCAAGACCAAACCACCACGGCTGGAACCTACTCCAGGAGTGCCCCAAGCTCGGCCCCCAGCCCTTACCAAAGTCCCCCGTCGTGCTCACACATTAGAGCGGGAGGTGCCAGGCATAGAGGAACTGCTAGTGAGTGGGCGGCACCCCAGCATGCCAGCCTTTCCTGCACTGCTTACTGCTACTCCAGGCCATCGGGGCCATCAGACCTGTCCTGATGGTAAGTGTCCTGGAGGGTGAATGGGACATCCCCAGAAACTGGACAGCTCCATCCACCTTCCCCTTATTCCTGCACAGATCCCTGCGAAGACCCAGGCCCTCCTCCTCCTGTGCAGCTGGCCAAGAACTGGACCTTCCCCAATACCAGGGCAGCTGGCAGCTCCTCTGACCCTTTCCTGTGCCCACCCCGACAATTGGAGGGGCTGCCCAGGACCCCCATGGTGAGAGTTGAAGAAGGGGAATGAGAAGAGGACTAAGTGGCAGGAGGGAATGGTATGAGGCCACAGTAGTACAGCATGTGTCCTGCATATCCCAGGAGGTCCAGCACTGCCCGGGAGGAGGGTGGAGGGAGCACCCCTTCTGTGCCCCTCTGGCAGCTCACCCACCCTTCTTGGGGGAAGGATTTTCATCACTCCCTGGAGCCTTGGTAGGTCTGTGTATAGTTGTATCTTCAGCTTTCTTCCCTCTCAGGGGTGGACCCAGAGTAGCACCTCCCACCAGGTGGGCAGAATGTCCCTCAGTCCATGCTTCACAAGCTAGGCTGACAGGTGGGAAGGAATGTCCTATAAGCAGTACCTCCTTTCCAGGCTCTGCCTGTGGACCGGAAGCGGAACCTGGAGCCCAGCCGCCCAGCCTCTACGCCCCAGGGCCCAGCATTTGGGGGCAGTCGTACTCCCAGCACTTCGGACATGGGTGAGGAAGGCAGAGTGGCCAGTGGGGGTGCTCCAGGGCTAGAGACCTCCGAGTCCCTCAGCGATTCGCTCTATGACTCACTCTCCTCCTGTGGGAGTCAGGGCTGAGGGACTGCGCCCACCACAGCCCCCTCTGGATCTGGGGACCACGGACTGGACCCACTCTCTTCATGCCCCATGCCTCAGAGCCAGTGGGCCCTGCCTGAAGGGACCAAGGATGCAGGTGGAGAAGAACTTGACAGAAGTCCCTGGCACACCCCACTGCCCACCGCTGCTGTGGAGGAGATGGCCCTGCTCAGCTCAGGGAGAGACCCCACCCTTGGTTCCTTCACTTGCCCAGAATAAGGCTTTTCCTCTAAGGGACTGAGGGTTCAAAGCCACTGTCTCAGCTCCCGCTTCAGGCTGAGCCATCTTGTGGTGCTGGGCTTTCTGCCCACCAGCTGTGCCATCTCTGCCCAACTTGGCTGCTCCCCTGTCCCAAAGCCTCCATGGGGCCATTCTGGAGGCCCCTGCTTTTGGAGCTTGGGGGTAAGGGGACACATTGCCTTCTCTCTCTGCCCTGGTTCTCCCTGCTGTCTGGATGGTGCTGCCCTCCCTTGCCCCATGTCTTTGGGGTCTGTTTGTTTGTCTTTTTTTTTTTTTTTTTTTATTAAGGCGCCTGGCCCAATTCCTACCCCTCAACCTGCACTATGGTTAATTTATCTGTTGTTAAAAACATGGCTGCTCTGCTTCCAGCCTCTGCTTCTGCCGTATCCCTAATAAAACATGGAGGCCCCTTCCCACCCTGACTCACTTTGTCATGTGGGAGGACTTGGGTGGAAAGGTGGAATCACCCCAGGAGATTAGGGAAATGGGGCTTTCTTAAGCCTGGAACTGCATATGTGTGGGCTTTAGGAGATTCCCCTGGGCCAGGGTTGGGTGGGGCACAGGGCTAGGCAGCCCCTTGGGAAGGCAGGTAGGGAGAATGTCATGGACATGCACTCAAAGTGGACCAATTTGGAGCCTCAGGTTGGAGTGTAGTTAGAGTTAACTATAGTCTCCTATTACCATGAAACTGAGGCACAACTGGGTCTTAAATCACTGCCACCTTCTAATCTCAGATTTAGGTGAAGAGGGTCTAGGAAAGGTCCAATTTCTCTTTTTTCTTTTCTTTTTTTGGTACTGAGGATTGAACTCAGGGGCACTCATCCCCAGCCCTATTTTGTATTTTATTTATTTTATTTATATTGTATTTATGCTTAGTGCCTCACCATTGCTGAGGCTGGCTTTGAACTCTCCATCCTGCTGGGATTACAGGTATGCACCACCGCACCTGGCCGAAAGGCCCAATTTCTATCTCAGATTTAAACCAGAAGTTTCCCCAATTCTGAAACTCTGTTTAGGAAGGGGAGGCCAGAACTGAGACTAAGGAGAAGGGTCCTGGTTTCCAGAAGCTATTCTGAATTCTCTGTGGACTTCCTGTTGGGCCAGAAGTTGGGTAAGAACCTAAATTGAGCCAGGGGGTAGATGGCCCATTTGGCATTGCCAGCTATTGAGGAAGGCCTCTCTGCCAGGTTACAAGGTACAGCATGGCTCTTCCAGAGCACCCTGATGCAGCCTGTGCTTGCCTCCTCCCCATGAAAGCTCTGAAAGCCACCAGGACAGTGTGTACGCTTGAAACACCTGGACTTGTGGTTGGGACTCTGAATAGTTGGTGTGTAGGAGGTGCGATCCCTTAGTAGACACATGGTCATAGTGTCCTGCTGTCTTAGTACCAAAGGCTGGAATCAGAGGTGACTAATGGGGTATCACTGGGTCCATTCAAGACTAAAGCAGTTGAATCATAAGTTCAGAGCCAGCCTCAGCTTATCAAAACCCTGTCTCAAAATATAAAAAGGGTTGAAGGTATTGCTCAGTGGTAAAGTGTACCCAGGCTTAATCCCCAGTCTCACAAAAAAAAAAAAAAAAAAAAAAAAAAAAGCCTGGTACCCCTAGAAACCAGTCTCGATTTCTGACAAAACAAAGAAAAACTGATCATGGGGAGAGTGACAGCACTTCCCTTCATGCTAGCTCCTCTAGCGGCATCTCTCCAGCCCCAGTGTGTTTCATGGGAGCAGCAAGNAAAAAAAAAAAAAAAAAAAAAAGCCTGGTACCACTAGACACCAGTCTCGAATTCTGACAAAACCAAAGAAAACTGATCATGGGGAGAGTGACAGCACTTCCCTTCATGCTAGCTCCTCTAGCGGCATCTCTCCAGCCCCAGTGTGTTTCATGGGAGCAGCAAGATAACTCACTCAGTAAGGCGAATACCTGCCTTTCACCGCTGCCACAGCCCTGGCAAGGAAGTGGTGTCCTTGTTCTCAGGTAAAGACACTGAAGCTCAGACACCATTGATGGGCTGTGATGGAGCCTGGTAGAGGTGGTGACTTTTGGAGTGTTTAGCTTTGCTTTCTTTTGCCCAGACTTTAATGTTCTCCCTTTAAGCCCTTCCTAATAGGAGGGCTTGAGAGAACTAGACTGGAAGTCAGAAGTCTTTGCCACTGAATTGGGCTTCATTTGGAAAACTACCCCTTCTCTGGACATTGGTTTTCTTCATCTACAGTAGATTAGGAGGTTAGGCTGGAACCACTGATGCCATCACCCAGACCTCCTTAGTTTTTTTTTTTTTTTTTTCTTACCACCTCCTGCATCTGGCATCTCTCACTCCTATTTTCCTTAATGTCATCATTGAAGAAATCAGCCCTTAGAAAAGAGCTGGGTTCAATGTCTTGGTTTACTTCAAGTCAGAATCCCATTCCCTTACCTCCTACTTCCAGGTTCTTCTCCCACTGTTCCTTTATTCTTATGGTTTAAGTGTATTAAAGTTTAAGTGGGTATTATCTAGTTGCAAGTTGGGCTGGTGGTACACTTATAATCTCAGCAATTTGAGAGGCTGAGACAAGAGGATCCCAAGCTCAAGGCCAGCCTGGACAATTTAGCAAGACCTTGTCTCAAAATAAAAACAAAAAGAGCTGTGGATGTAGCTCAGTGGTAGAGCATCTCTCAGTTCTGTTCCCTTTATGGCCACACACACACACACACACACACACACACACACACATAAAACTAAGCTGCAAACCTCTGCCTCTTCCCAAGTGAGCTTAAAGAAGTCTGCATCCTCCAATTTTTTTTTATTTTTTTGTTTTTCCAAACCCTTTTCTCTGATTGAATCTAATGGATTACCTCATTTCTTAGTTAAAATTGAATTGTTTGCCTGCAAGTTATTTCTCTCATTTCCCTTCTGGGAAGAAGTTGGTATGGTGGGCTTGATTGTTGACTTTACCTTTTCCAAGCTGAGAGCAAAGGATTCATCCACATTCTTCTTAGCCAGAGTCTGATCTGCTGCTGGGCTCTGTTCTCTAGTGTTTGCAAACACAAGATGTCACCTTGTCCCCTTGTGAACTGATTGGGGTAATGTCCTTTGTCAGGCATTAGGGCAAAGTACACCCACCTGGTGCCTGTTAGGCACCTACCAGCTGTCTCCTACCAGCTGCTTACCAACTGTTCTGCCTAACTGCTCCCTACCCCTTCCAGATGCCACAGAGGGATGCTGGTCCTCGTGGAGTCATCCCTCAGCCCACATGACTGTATGTGGTCCACACAAACCCAGTGTTCTATCTGAAATAATTCTGTGGAGGAGCACTTACAAGAGAGTTTAAAGACACTCTAGGGCTGGGCATGGTGACACATACCTGTAATCCCAACCACTTGGGAGGCTGAGGCAGGAGGTCAGAAGTTCAAAGCCAGCCTCAGCAACTTGGCAAGACCCTGTCACAGAAAAATAAAAAGATCTGGGGATGTTGCTCAGTGGTTAAGTGATCCTGGGTTCAATCCCCAGTACCAAAAAAAAAAAAAAAAAAAAATGCTTTAGGGAACCCAATTTCTCCTTGCACTTCAAGAAAAGGTTTGGCTACTGGGCATAGGGGTACATGTCTGTTATCCCAGTGGCTCAGGAGGCTGAAGCAAGAGGACTACAGGTTCAAGGCCAGCATAAGCAACTCAGCAAGACCCTGTCTAAAAACTAAAAAGGGCTGGGGATATAGCTCAGTGGTAGAATCCCCAGTACCACAAAACACACACACACACACACACACACACACATCCCAATGGGTGAATGTTTGCTTTAACCATGTGTCAGACCTTTTCTGTTGGGCTTCCCAAATGATGCCCAAACTGCCAGATACCTGCCCACCCTGCGAGTGGCATCAAGGCATCAGCAAAAAATGAAGCAGGAGGTTTCACTCCACTGGGCACTCTGCCTTTTGAAGGAAATGACTCAAAAACTGTTAACTGAGGTTGCCAGTGGTTTTATTTTCTTTTCACCTTTTTCTAGATTTTCTACAAATAGTATGTTTTATTTTCTTTATTTAAAAAAAAGGTTTTAAAAAAAGAAACAATCATACTCCACAGCAAATTCAAGATGTGTATTCCTGATCTGTCATCCTGACTTCATTCAAGCATATAAATCATTTTTTAAAGCCACATGAACTTGAAGTAAATACAGGTGAGCATTTCTATGATCTTGGGTTGGAGAAGAACTTTTTTTTAAATTTTTAGTTGTAGATGGACACAATTCCTTTATTTTATTTATTTTTACGTGGTGCTGAGGATCGAACCCAATGCCTCACATGTGCGTGGTGAGCACATTCCCACTAAGCCCCAGTCCTGGGGAAGAACTTTTTTAAAACTTTAAAAAAATTATTAGATATACAAATTTTAAAAGTCTATGTTTGTACCAGACATGGTGGTGCACGCCTGTAATCCCCCTATGCCCAGTAGCCATAGTGGACTCAGAAGACTGAGACAAGAGGATCACAAGTTCAAGGCCAGCCTGGGCACCTTAAGGAGATCCTGTCTCAAAAAATAAAAAGGACCGGAAATGTACACAAGTGGTAGAGCACTCCTAGGTTCAATTTAAAAAAAAATAAAATCAAGGGGCTGGGGTTGTGGCTCAGTGTGAATGCTCGCCTAGCATGTATGAGGCCCTGGGATCAATCCTCAGCACCACATAAAAATAAATAAACAAAATAAAGGTATTGTGTCCACCTATAACTAAAAAATAAAATATTTTTTTAAAAAATTGAACAAAAACAAAAGACTCTCATACTCCTCAATCCCTAGTCTCACTTCCCAAACCAACCTGAGTTTGTTGGTAATCCTTTCAGATGTTTTGAAAATGCATAAACACACAACATATTCATGTTTACTTAACAAGGATATTATTCTATAGTTACTGATCTGATGCTTCCCTTTAGTGTTTAATATCTTGGAGATCATTTAAAATTCCATGAATCTCCATTATCACGCATGGTACTCCATTCCATTGCATGGCACACTGTGTTTATTTGTTTTGCTGTAACTTGGTGCAGTGAAATCAAGTGCACTTTTGACCACTTATGTATTTGCATAAGATAAACTCCTATAAATAGAATTCCTGGATCCTAGGGTATGCTTAATTTATTTTTATAGAAATCAATAAATTGTATTCCCATCAACAATATTTAAGTTGAATTACCTCCCCACATCTTCTACACCATTGAGCAATATCAAACTTTTTATTCTTAGCCAAGTTGGTAGGAGTAAGATATCATGAAGGGTCTTGCAGCACAAGGTAAGGACTGAGGCTTTTACTCAGTACAATAGGGAACACAGA